ATGATGGTGGGCAGACCATGTATGATGTATGATGCATAATTGCATGTGATGGCTTATGGCATGAGTCTAGCCTAGGACTTGAGGAGAGGAAAAATATTTTCGAACTGGAAGAGCTCACATAGAGTCTCTTGAGAGTGGTGCTTGGATAGGCCACTGATATATGAGAGTGGTGCTCAGGTAGGCCACTGGATTTGGGAGTGGTGCTCAGGTAGGCCACTGGGTTGGGTGAGTCTCCTCTAAGTCCTTAGCTAGTGTTGGAGTGGGGTATGAGGTCGAGGGTTATTCCCTTAACCATGTACTCAGGAAGCTGCGTGGATCCTTGCGGATAGTCGGTGGGCGAACTCCACAATTGACTTGGTTATGCATGCAAAGGTCGTGGTAAGCCCGTACCCAGATATTTCAAGATGTGGAAGGGTATTTTTAATCAAATTAGTCTTGTCATCTCTTTTTAACTACTTCCTTTCTTTTTTCCAAGCTCCGAAAGATATTATTTCTAAACTTGAATCTCTGTTTAAAATTCTTTTGTGGGGTGGGAATGTAGAAAAACATAAAGTTCATTGGGGGGCATGGGAAATGGTGCATGTTTATAGAGAAGGACGGAAGAGGTTTGGGAATAAGAAATCTTAAAGCTTTTAATTTGGCATTGTTAGGAAAATGGCATTGGAGGATGAAAATTGAGAGAAAAGAGTTGTGGTATAGGGTGCTTAGAGGAAAATATGCTAATGGAAAATAAAGATGGGTGAGTAGTAGTAGGAGTCGCTCAAATTGGTGGAACGATATCAATAGAATGGAAGACAATTTAAATTTTCAAGAGAAGTGATTTTCAAGGTCGATGTATAAGAGGGTGGATTTGGGTAATAAAAATTTGTTTAACATGATCAATGGATGAAGGTGGAGTTCTCTAAAAGATAGATTTCAAAGAGTATATAATGTAGTTTGAGATAAGGGGATGAAGGTGGGAGATGCATGTAAGTGGTTTGAGGGGAGGTGGGAGGATACTTGGGAGTAGAGGAGGTCATTGGTTGAATGGGCAAAAAGGAGTTGTTAGAGTTGGAAGAGGTGTTGAGAAATATAAGGAGGGTGAGGATGATTGTTGGGTTTGACGACATGAAAAATAGGGATAATTTTGTGTCAAATTATCATATAAGACAATTATGACTAATAAGAGGGGAAATACAAACACTAGTGAGAAAATGACTTTTAAAATTGGTAATTTTTTACTTGTAAAATTGTTTTTTTGTAGGATTTTAAAAGAGCCAATTTGGTAAGTCTTGACTTTTAAAATTGGTTGTTTAAAAGTGGACAAGTTTAAGGCTTAGGGTTTTCAAAATCAATTATCAAATAATCAATTTTAAAAGTGAATTTTTAAAATTGATTATTTGATAACTAATTTTATAAGTCTTAACTTTCAAAATCAGTTATGAAACAACTAATTTTAAAATAACATTTTTTAAATAGTAGATCTATTTTAGGAGCATACCAAAACAAAACCTACAAATCCAACAATATCAAATGGTTTTGTAACACTCATTTTACCCCAACATACATAATAAAATAATAAGTAGAATGAATTACCAAAATAAGGTAAAATGGTTCACATATAAAAAAAGAAGTACTTCCAATATCCAAATGGATTAAAACAAGGTTTAGAAAATCGATAAGTTCATAAATCATTTCAAAAGAAATAAATACAAACTCCAATTACATTAAAATTAATGATCTAAAAGTCCCTTGCACAACCTCCTCATACACATCAATGTTTTAATTCACAACTAGTTAACATTCCATCTAGCACACACCATTTATATTTATTCATACAATAGTCATTACTGGATATCATACAATTCACAACCATCATCAAAATACATCAATATAATACCATATTTCATAATCTCAAATCAAACTCATTCAATCATATCATAAGTATTATAAAGAATCACTAAGAAATCATAAAGTATCATAAACATGCCAAAAAGGGGGGCCTAAAATGTCAAAAACGCAAACCAAAATAGAATAACCTTGTCGGGCAACGCAAATCTTGATAGTTTGATCTCTACTGACTATTTTGACCATAACTTGAGTTATACACATCCTTGTTGAGTGATTTCAAAGTCATTAGAAATATAACAACCAAAACTACAACTTTTGTGAATAACACAAAGCCTAAAAATGTCGTTAAGGTCACCTCGCATGGGACGTTAAAGGTGAATAGGAACAACCATATATATAATCAAACGTGTTTTAAATACATGCAATGTGAATATAGTATTATACATGCCAAACTATGAAACATGTGTTTAAACTTGAAAACATGAGTCCTAGCTAGTCAATGTAATGCTCAAGGAAAATTGTAGTCCATTGCTCCCTATTAGTCCTTATGTCTTCTAATGACAACGATAATTAATCTATAAATATTTGTTTGGGAAAATGAGAAAAATAATTAATAATAATTCATAAAACATATAATAAAACAAGAACATAAAATAAGAACTTTTAAAATTGTAAAACATACATCAACTCATCCAAATACTATTTGTGAATCAGTAATAGTGTGCATTGGCTTCATTACATAGTATTTGCACTCATAGTTTTCTTTTGTTTATGAGACTACAAAAGAAAATAAAAAAATTGTCAATAATAATGGTAATTCCAAACAAAATACCTTTAAAAAATATCATTGCTGGGATTAAATAGTTTACTTTAAAAGAGACCTAATGCATCTTTTTCTTCAATAATTTGTTCTTTAATCAAAATCAAAATAAGAAAATATTGTTATTTGCACAACTATATTTAATGAATAAATGATAACCACTTTAATAATCAACACAAAAGATAAAAAATAAAAGTGTTGACACATGAGCCTAGTAGCAAAATTAAGCATTTAGTAATCTAGAATAGTGACTGTTGAAAGTTGACTATAACAATTCTCCACTATATTTCAACAGAAATACTTGGTACTATATCTACTAATTTTTTTTATTTAACCTAAATTTTGAATATTCCCTTGAAATAAAAAGAAATATTAGAAAGAAACAAAAACACCAAAGAGATAAGACATGTTGTTTTCTATATTAAATACAGATGTCAAAAATAAAGAGATTAAGCCAAATATGGGATGGGTCATAATGCAAGATATGGGGTGCTATATTAACGAGATTCGATATAACTTAATTGCAGTTGAAAGTCATCATTAAGTGAAGCAACATGCTTACTTTCAGAAATATTTCTGGGTGAAGATGTAGTTAATCTATCTGCAATTGGGTCCTCTGTGAAACATGCAACAACAAAAAAACTAAAAAGCAAGAGAAGTTTAGGGACTCATTTTTTAGCATATGTATTTTTCTAAAAAAAATTTCATGTAAGCTTGAAAGGTTAGCGGAAATCCTCCAACAGAAAAAGTGTTTCTTCAAAGGAGTATTAATGATTGGGTATTTAAATTATCGTACAAGACAAAATAGAAATTACAAAAAATAGAATATTCCTTCCATTCAATTAGGGATGAGAATAGATCAAGTCTTAAATTTTAACAATGTTAAAATTAGCAACGGAATTGAATTCGGTCGCTAAATTAGAAATTTTGATTTTTTTTAGCGACTGAATTGAATTCGGTTGCTAAATAGTAGTTAAATTTAGTGACGGAATTAAATTACGGTCGCTAAATCAGAAATTTTGATTTTTTTAGCGACAGAATTAAATTCGGTCACTAAATATTAGTTAAAATTAGCGACATAATTGAATTCGGTCGCTAAATCAGAAAGTTTGATTTTTTTAGCAATAGAATTAAATTCAATCGCTAAATATTAGTAACAATTAGCGATGAAATTCTATTTGGTCGCTAGATAGTAGTTAAAAGTAGCAACAGAGTTCTATTTGGTCGCTAAATATTAGTTAAAATTAGCGACGAAATTCTATTCGGTCGCTAAATAAAACTTAAAAAAATTTATAAATTTCTTAAAAGTGATGATAATAT